ACAAAGGCAGGGCCGATAGCCCGCGCTGGTGTCTGGCTATTCGAAGGGCCGGGCCAAGTCTGGGCCTGTCTGTTTCCCAGTCGGGCCTATAAGTGGAATTCGCAAGGCTGGAAATACTACTATCCCACCTCGTGGAGGGGGAGCTCACTCTTTTTTCGGTGTTTGAAATTTGTGCTATGTTGAATGACCAAATTTTGCTAAAAAATGAACGACCAAATGAACCGGCCTAGATCAAATCATAGATCAATCTCAAACTTGAATTCCGATTCCACGTAAGATATTGAAGTTTAATCTATCCAAAATGTTCGGTTAGGATTCACATTTAATCAAGTTGAAAAAAATATTAAGAACGCATCAAGTGGGGAGAACATATGCCATCGGTTGGTTAGGTTCATTATAGCATAACCTGTTCTGTTTGATAGGGTTTCTCCTTGGCTTCGGCTTCGGCTCTAAGGAGGAGCCCTACAAACGTTACGTAGGAGAAACCGTTTTTTAGTAAAAAAAATAGAGTAGCCGAGCCGTTTTGGAGGAGCCTCTCAGGAGAAATCCTGCCAAACAACCTCTTAAGTTCTCGGCTTAGCAATCTAGAGATTTATAGATCTAACTCATCAAGAGGGTCTCATTCCTCATCGGTCATAATTTTTTGAACTAATCTATTCATGATTTTGGGTTAATTAGGCCTCGTAGATTCTCGAATCACGTTGTTAAATTTAAAGGATTAAGTCTATTTTTGGCCCCCTCAACTATCATGTTGGTCTAATTTTGACCCCCAACTACAAAACCATCTGGTCCAGGCACTGGAACTTTCAAAATCGTTCAGTTTTAGCACCTCAGCGTGATTGAGGCGGTTTACGCTGACGTGTGCTTGGTTTTGACCCGCCACGCTGGCATTGACCGCCATGTAGGACGACCGCATGGGTCAAAACAGGAGCCGACCCCGCTTAGCTCTCTCTCTCTCCCTCTCAGTTCCTCTCAGCACTTCCTCGAGGCCAGGTGAGGGAGCTTGCAGGCGGTGGAGGTAGATGCATCAGGCACCATGGCGGCGGCCATGGCAGAGGCGCACAACAATGGAGGCACGAGTGCCGCGCCATGATAGCATAAGGCCAAGCTCAGCATGGGAACCGACCAAGTTGCAAAGGGGTCACCTCCCCTAGTGTATCCCACCCGCAGAAAGTCCGAGGTGGCTGGAGCAGAACTAGCCGCGGTGGCATGCCCAGTGGCGATGGAAACCGACGGCAAGGGCCCCGTTCCCGACACGATGGCAAAGCTCCCTGGAACCTATGTGAGGCCAAGATGGAGGGCATCGGGGTGGACCTAGAACGGGCGAAGTGGTGTTGACTTAGTGAGGCAAAGAGCGGGGCCGCGCGCGGAGCTCGAGCCACGACAATGGTGGCCAGCGGCGCAAAATCCACCAAATTGAGCGATTACCTTGGTCGATCTTGCGAGCAGCTAGCTCAGGGGCGTTACTAGGGAGGTGAGGGAGCCATGGCTATGAGGAATCGGAAGGATGCAGTTAGGCCGATGAATTTTTGGATGGGACGGCTGCTGCGATAGCAGCTGCGATTGGCGTTGCCGCTGCGAGCGCGCGAGCAGGCGCCGTCGCCGTCGCTGCGGCCACGTAGACCCGACCGCTTAGGTCCCGAGTCCTAAAAAAATCTTGGTAAGCCTCCATTCAGTCGAGGTGTCGAGCTCAGGCAGTCGCCGTCGCCATCGCCTGACGCGGCGATGCTCCGCTCAACCCAGCGCCATCGCGTCGCGCCACCCATGGCCGCTACATCGCGCCGCTCCAGCGCCACGCCCCCCCAACCGATGCTACCTCGCAGTCCCCGATCCACGCCATCCCTGATCCACGATCCGGAATGAAAGTTCCAGAAACACGGAACGCCGCTACAATCCGTGTTCCCTATGACTCTGGTTCTAGATGGCTCGAGCTCCTAGCAACCCAAGCGCAGGCGGGGTACAGGCGTGGCGGACCCCACCGCTCCGGTCCCGGGCTCCTAGTCATCCTAAGCGCGAGGGGGCCCAGCCCACAGCCGCGATGGCCCGTCAGGCAGCGGTGTGCTTGGCTCGGCTCCGGTCCGAGCCATCCTTCACGGTGGGTGCCCAATGACCCCATCGCCACTAGCGGTGCGGGCGGCACATGGCTTGCCATGGCGCCCATGCCACCATGTTGGCCGCTCCCTACCCCTGCGCCGCGCTTAAGAAGGAGGCGAGCCTACGCACGGCTCCTTGCTCGACCTCCCGCCTCCCTCCCACCTTCTGAAAGGTCCTAGTGGCTAGAGGGGGGTGAATAGCCTATTAAAAATTTCTACAACAACACTTAACAAACCGGTTAGATAATTATGAGGCGAAGCAAGTGTTGCGCTAGCCTACTAAAATTGTAAGCCACCTACCACAATTCTAGTTTATATAGTTTCTATCAACACAAAAGCTATGTCACTACACTAAGTTAGTGTGCTCTCAAATGCTAACTAAAGAGCCACACTAACTAAACTAACAAGCTCTCACAACTAGCTACACTAAAGAGCTTGACAACTAGTTTGTGGTAATATAAAGAGAGTGAGCAAGATTGTTATACCGTCGTGTCGAGGAAGGAGCCAATCAATCACAAGAATGAATAACAATGAAGACCAATCACCTCGGAATCAAATGATAACACAATGATTTTTTACCGAGGTTCACTTGCTTGCCGGCAAACTAGTCCTCGTTGTGGCGATTCACTCACTTAGAGGTTCACGCGCTAATTGGCATCACACGTCAAACCCTCAATAGGGTGCCGCACAACCAACATAAGATGAGGATCACACAAGCCACGAGCAATCCACTACAATATCTTTTGGCTCTCAATCGGGAAAAGGTCAAGAACCCCTCACAATCACCACAATCGGAGCCGGAGACAATCACCAAACTCCTCTCGACGATCCTCACTGCTCCAAGTCGTCTAGGTGGCGGCAACCACCAAGAGTAACAAGTGAATCTCGCAGCGAAACACGAACACCTAGTGCCTCTAGATGTAATCACTCAAGCAATGCACTTGGATTCACTCCCAATCTCATAAAGATGTTGAATCTATGATGGAGATGAGTGGGAGGGCTTTGCCTAAGCTCATAAGGTTGCTATGTCAATGTAAAATGGCCAAGAGAGTGAGCTAGAGCCAACAATGGGGCTTAAATAGAAGCCCCCATGAAATAGAGCCATTGTACCTCTTCACTGGGCACTACTCGGGGTGACCGGACGCTCCGGTCAGATCGACCGAACGCAGGACCCCAGCGTCCGGTCGCCCGATGCCTGCCACGTGTCATCGGCTTCAAACGTTGATCACCCGATCTCAACGGTCATCAGTACATTTAAGTAGTGACCGGGCGCGCTGCTCAAAGTGACCGGACGCACCAACACCAGCGTCCGGTCGTTTCCAGTAAGGTACCAGAAGCAAAAAATCACGACCGGGCGCGTCCGGTCATGACCGACCGGACTCACCCAGCATCCGGTCACTCAACGTCTCTCCTGTGCGATGCATATGTCATCATACGTCATACTGACTGGACTCAGGCCCTGAGCGTCCGATCATTTCTCGCGCCAGCATCCGGTCATGAGACCGAAACCGCACGTTCACTGTTGCCACTGACCGGACACGTCGGTCCTACCGAGACCAGCGTCCGGTCACTTTCAGCGACCTCCGTTCACCTGGGTTTAGCCACCGGATACGTCCGTTACGCTCTGTGAAACCCTATCTTTTCTATACAGTGCGTCGGTGGCACCGTCGGACTGTCCGCACTTTACGGGCGAACATTCCGCCGGTGAAGCTTCTTATCCTTGCTCAAATGTGCCAACCATCAAGTGTATCACCTTGTGCACATGTGTGTTAGCATATTTTCATAAACATTTTCAAGGGTGTTAGCACTCCACTAGATCCTAAATGTATATGCAATGAGTTAGAGCATCTAGTGGCACTTTGATAACCGTATTTTGATACGAGTTTCACCCCTCTTAATAGTACGGCTATCGAACCTAAATGTGATCACATTCACTAAGTGTCTTGATCACCAAAATAAAATGGCTTCTACCACTTATATATTTGCCTTGAGCCTTTTATTTTCTCTTTTCTTTTTTTAAGTCCAAGCACTTGATCGTCACATGGTATCACCATCATCATGTTATGATCTTTATTTGCTTCACCACTTAGAATATGCTGCCTATCTCATGACACTTTGATAAACTAGGTTAGCACTTAGGGTTTCATCAATTCACCAAAACCAAACTAGAGCTTTCACCTTCTCGGCGGCCGTGCAGCGCCGCTGCAGCAGGGCCTGCGCGCATGGCTAGTAGACCATGGACCGCCTCCCGCCGAGCCGCGGCTAGCCCTGGTACCACGTACCCATCCTTGCATTCGCGCAACACTACCTACCTCGCCAGGTCCACCCCTCCCCGTGCTCGGCTTTCCAGCGTACGGCGAGAGTGGAGTCTTCCACATGGGCACCGTTGCCCAACAGCTCCAAATTCCCGTTTTGACCCACGCGGCTAGGTGGTGGTCAATGCCAACGTGGTGGGTCAAAACCAGGCACACGTCAGCGCAAACCGCCTCAATCGCGCCGAGGTGCTAAAACAGAACGATTTTAAAAGTTTCAGTGTCTGAACCAGACGGTTTTATAGTTGGGGATCAAAATTAGACCAACGTGATAGTTGAGGGGCCAAAAATGGACTTAATCCAAATTTAAAATAGTGCTAAAGCATGCCTGAGGACTGAGGTGGGAGATCTAGGTGATTGGTGTGACCTGCGATGGTTAAGTTAAATGAGGCTTCTCACATCATCAGGCTGGGCTCATTAAGGCGGTAAAAAATAAAAAAAATAAAAAAGGCCACGAAATCTCACGACAACTCGTTCTATTGTCTACTCCCTTAGTGCCGCATCTCCGCTCCTCCCTCCTCCCAAATCCCAAACCCGCTCCCAGCTCCGCCGCCGAGCAAAACCCTAGGGGCTTCTCAGCGCTGCCGCCGCCGCCATGGACGACAGCCTCTACGACGAGTTCGGCAACTACATAGGCCCAGAGCTCGCCGACTCCGACGCCGATGACGACTCCGACGCCGGCGGCGCCTCACCGTCCCCCTCCGCCTCCGGCTCGCCGTCCCCCGCGGCACGCTCCCCATCGGGCTCCCCCTCCCGCCCGGCCGCGCTCATGGACGTCGACGACGACGAGGGCGACCCGTCCCAGCAGGCCGTGGTGCTCGCCGAGGACAAGAAGTACTACCCCACCGCCGAGGAGGTGTACGGGCCTGGCGTGGAGGCGCTCGTCATGGACGAGGACGAGCAGCCGCTCGAGATGCCCATCATCGCGCCGCCCCGCGTCGTGAAGTTCGAGGTCGGGACCCGCGCCGCGGCCACGTCTACCTACGCGTCCACCGACTTCCTCCTCGGCCTCGCGGGCAACCCCGCGCTCGTCCGCAACGTCACCCTCGTCGGCCACCTCCAGCACGGGAAGACGGTGTTCATGGACATGCTCGTAGAGCAGACACACGAAGTGGACACCTTCGACTCTGAGGGGGAGCGCCATGTGCGGTTCACTGACACAAGGGTGGACGAGCAGGAGAGGCAGGTCTCCATCAAGGCTGTGCCAATGTCGCTTGTTCTCGAGGGGGGAAACGGCAAGTCATACCTGTGCAATATCATGGACACGCCCGGGCATGTCAACTTCTCAGATGAGATGACTGCGGCACTGCGGCTTGCGGATGGGGCTGTGCTCGTTGTTGATGCTGCTGAGGGAGTAATGGTAATGCATTGACCTTTTGTTTTTCGTAGTCATCTTTCTGCTATAATGATGCGCTATGCTGAAATTACTAGTCTTAATGCACATTTTAGAGAAAATATTGGATCATGAGGAGATGAATCTGTGTGTAGTACAATCTGGTCAAACTAATTCACTTCAACAAAGAGTCACCATCCAATTGTATCCCATCCAACTTAGGGCACTCCACCCTCCATTTTGATTGGAAGGGAGTAAAGTTTTCTTTCAGCGTCACAGAAATTTCTCCAGATGTCTGACCCATGCATTCTAAATGAGCAATGGGTGCCATTGCTGAAAATACTAAGATAGAGGTCTCAGCTGTTGGCATATTCCAGGAAGAGCATTTTGTTTTCACCCGCAGATCAAGTCAGATAGCAATTAGAATAATTTAATCTCTGTGTTTACTGTTTTGAGTCCAATTGGTAAATGGTGATACCTTGCTTGCTAGATTTGTCTAAGTACACTTTATTGTGTGCTTGAGAACAGTGTACTATAGCTTCATGATGTTCACAAACTTGCTTCATATGCAAGGTTTTCGCATGTGCTGCCTTTATGGACTCAGTTTAGGCAGATGTCATTATATTGGGATTTGTATGGTAAGTTGTGTTTAGCTTGGGTTTAAGATGTCAGCGCATTTGAGGATTCTGATGCATTGAGCATGTTGATTATCATATGGTTACATCTATTGGATTAAAGGCCATGTCCTTCTTTGTAATGATATGACTTATGGAACGTCGTGTGAACCTATAGTAGAAAATGAGTTTTTAAGTTGACCGTGTAGGTTTTCAGCCATTATGGGCAGAGTAAAGTAGCCACATGTGAATCAACATTCCCAGAATTTTAAGTACCCAGATAACATGAATAAATGATTTTGTTGTACCGCAAATTGCAAGTTTCGCGATTTTTAGAAATTATGTGGGTTTTTGTACTTTTGGTTTACATGCATGCTCTGCTAGAGTATCTTTTATTTTCTTATATATGGAAGTGTAAAGTATTATGTTATTTATTTACCCCCATTGGTTATTAGGTTAATACTGAGAGGGCAATTCGTCATGCAATCCAAGAAAGGCTTCCAATTGTTGTTGTGATTAACAAGGTACATCTTTGCTGCCCCTTTTCTATTATGTTCCAGTAGAAACATGAAATTGAAGTTTATGCTTACTGTGTGCTATTACAGGTTGACAGATTGATAACAGAACTAAAGCTGCCCCCAAATGATGCATATTTCAAGCTGCGGCATACTCTAGAGGCAATTAATGATCTTATCTCATCGTGTTCAACTACAGTAGGTGGCACTCAGCTGGTGGATCCTGCTGCTGGAAATGTATGTTTTGCAAGTGGTGCTGCTGGCTGGTCTTTTACCTTACAATCTTTTGCCCATCTTTACTTAAAGATTCATGGGATTCAATTTGACCATGAGAAATTTGCATCTCGCCTATGGGGAGACCTGTATTTTCACCCTGATTCTAGAACCTTTAAAAAGAAGCCGCCAAAGGAAGGAGCTAACAGATCATTTGTTGAGTTTATCCTTGAGCCTCTGTACAAAATTTATAGTCTGGTTGTTGGTGAGCAAAAGGGGAATGTGGAATCAAAGCTTGCTGAATTGGGTGTCACGCTGAGCAATGCAGCTTATAAGCTTAATGTTAGACCTTTGCTGAGGTTAGCTTGCCGCTCAATTTTTGGCACTGCTACTGGTTTTACCGACATGTTAGTGAAACATATCCCCTCAGTGAAGGATGCTGCTGCAAGGAAGATAGACCACATATACACTGGACCACAAGATTCCTCTATTGTGGATGCTATGAAAAAATGTGATCCCAATGGACCCCTTATGGTTAACGTAACAAAACTATATCCAAAGTCTGATTGCAGCGTCTTTGATGCCTTCGGACGAGTTTATAGTGGCACGATACAGACTGGACAGACTGTGAGGGTCCTTGGAGAAGGCTATTCTCCAGATGATGAAGAGGATATGACTGTCAAAGAGGTGACCAAATTGTGGGTTTATCAGGCACGATACCGTGTTGCAATTAGTAAAGCCCCTGCTGGCTCTTGGGTTCTTATTGAAGGTGTAGATGCATCAATAATGAAAACTGCTACTATATGTCCTATGAATATTGATGAAGATGTGTACATATTTAGACCTCTACGTTTCAACACCTTGCCTGTTGTAAAGATAGCAGCTGAGCCTCTCAACCCAAGTGAGCTTCCTAAAATGGTCGAAGGTCTTCGTAAAATTAGCAAGAGTTATCCTCTTGCTATTACCAAGGTTGAAGAGTCTGGAGAGCACACTATCCTGGGGACTGGTGAACTATATCTGGATTCCATAATGAAGGACCTCAGAGAGCTTTATTCAGAGGTTGAGGTGAAGGTACGGATGATACACTAGTTTTGCCCCCCCCCCCTTTTTTTTTTTTTTTTTTTTTGGGGGTGGGGGGTGAACTAAATTGATTTTTAGGGTGGACCAAATTGATTTGCTTTGTTACCTTTTGGCATGCAGGTCGCAGATCCTGTTGTTACATTTTGTGAAACAGTTGTTGATACTTCTTCTATGAAATGTTTTGCTGAAACACCTAACAAGAGGAACAAAATTACTATGGTAAGCTTTTCTTGAGTGCACTCTTTGTATTTGCTTTTGACATTTCCCATTCTGATCTTTACTTGTAAATGCAAGCAACTGATATGTTATTGAACCTTTTGTCTTTATGGCATGACGCAGCTTGCTGAACCATTAGAGAAGGGCTTAGCAGAAGATATTGAGAATGGTCTTGTTAGCCTGGATTCAAGACAGAAAGAAATTACTGACTTCTTTCGCCAACGCTACCAGTGGGATGTGCTTGCAGCAAGGTCAATATGGGCTTTTGGACCTGACAAGCAGGTAATATGCCATAAACTGCTGACTGATCTGTCTTGCAACCTTGGTTATTCTTTATTCCTTTTCACCTTTTCTGGAGATCAATGAACCCACTGTGTTTCTGACCCACAGTCAATCTCAGTTCTCGTTTTTGCAGTTGACTTTGATTTGTTCCTATTACATGAATTATCCGACAATTCATCAGCCTTTTCATTTGATTAATACTATTTTTTCCATCAGTTGTATTTCCATCTACTGAATACCTGAATACATCTTACTTGACATGCAGGGTCCTAACATTCTTCTGGATGACACACTTTCAATTGAGGTTGACAAGAACCTGCTCAATGCGGTCAAAGATTCAATTGTTCAAGGGTAGGGCTCTGCACTCTTCAGTTAACTAAGTCCAATTGGAATCCACACTGCCTTTTTCTTAACCAGTTTATTTATCAACCTATACATAGGTTCCAGTGGGGTGCTAGAGAAGGTCCTTTGTGTGATGAACCAATTAGGAATGTGAAATTCAAGATCTTAAATGCAAACATAGCTCCAGAACCATTGCACCGTGGTGGTGGTCAGATAATTCCCACAGCACGTCGTGTTGTCTACTCTGCATTCCTTATGGCTAATCCTCGCCTTATGGAACCTGTGTATTATGTTGAGGTTAGTCCTAGTGCTTCTCTATATACACAAGGATGCAGATACATGCACATATTTCAATGCTATCTGGTTTCTATTTTGCTGCCATGTCTGACGTGTGAGGATCTTATGTGTGCACTTGGCAGATCCAAACACCAATTGACTGTGTGTCTGCAATTTATACGGTGCTATCCCGGCGGCGTGGTCACGTAACAGCTGATGTACCCAAGCCAGGCACTCCAGTATACATTGTTAAGGTAAGGAACACAGTGATCTCTATTCACCCTTTGTCTTCCTTCTGGAAAACCTTTGTGATAATAGCATGCCAGTGAACCAATCTACTTACCGATGGTACTATTTGTTTTTGACTAATGGTATTGTTTCTTTGTTTTCCAGGCATTTTTACCTGTTATAGAGTCTTTTGGATTTGAGACAGATCTCAGATACCATACCCAGGGACAAGCCTTTTGTCTGTCAGTATTCGATCACTGGGCTATTGTTCCTGGTGACCCCTTAGATAAGAGTATTGTCCTTCGCCCCCTGGAGCCAGCACCTATACAGCACCTTGCCCGTGAGTTCATGGTAAAGACCAGGCGAAGGAAGGTAAGGGATATAGTTGATTTATTATGGCAACCATATATTCTTAACTTTTATCATAGTTGATTTATGAGCAACCATATAATTTGCTCACTCTTAACTTTTATCATACAGTAAAAATCCTTATCAGTGTTAGACTAGCCACAGTGCTAACTGTATGCACCATCACATTTGCAGGGCATGAGTGAAGATGTTAGCATCAATAAATTCTTCGACGAGGCCATGATGAATGAGCTGGCTCAACAGGCTGCTGATATCCACTTGCACATGATGTAGTCCAAAAGCGAGATGAGGTGCACACCTGAGAAGATGCAAATGCCCTCAGCTTCTTTATACACTGGCTGCAGATGGGGCTTCTGGAGTTCCAGTCGCACCTCTATATGCTGGCATTTGCCCGTACCTGTTTCGCTTGGCTGACACATTTTGATTGCTGGGTATCATGTAGCGAATGATCATGGTGGGTACCATATGCAATCATGTACTAGCTTCTACACCATCTAACCAATCAGCACCCTTGAGGATCGAGACTAATTTTTACTGTCTTTATTAAACTGAGCGGCAATGGCATCTTCGCCTGTGTAGATTTGAAGTAAGATTTTACTTATTTGATCCCTTTTGTTTTTGCAGTTCGGTTTCTTGAAATCGCAACAAATGTACCACAGAAAATGGTCTGAAAGTATCATCTTAGCATGTGTTCTGTTCAGGGACAAGGTGGGATGCAATGATCTTGTTTTTTTTTTTTTGGGATCGTTATACGAGTATTTTTGTGTTTGGTTGAGGTGATAAGTTCATCCAAATTTCTTTGGCTGGTGGGATCGAGAGGGATGGGATTATGCCATTCTTTTACACTGTTGGCGACGGGGCAACTGTTGTCCGCAGGTCCCGAAAGTCGTCCACGGACCCTAGATGTTACCTTCTCTCTTTTTCCTCTTCAGTTGTCTCTTATGTCTTATCCAACATGTCACCGTGGCTTATAGTCCCGGCCTCCATCTCTGCACTAATCATCCATGTCATCTTGAATAGTGGGTCCGCAGCATGTTAGAGCACAGGGTCCGCAGCAAGTTAGAGCATAGGGTGCGAATGCTTCAACTGACAAAAGGTGTGAGCCACTGTTTTTGGAACCGAAGCTGAGGGGGTGTTTGGATGTTCAGTCGCCTAAAATTCATGTCTCATTGAATGTTGTTTAGATATTAATAAAGAGCATTAAATATAGATTAATTATAAAACCAATTACATAGATGGAGGGTAATTTGTGAGACGATTTTTTAAGTCTAATTAATATATAATTAGCACATGTTTACTGTAGCGTTATGTTGTCAAATCATGGACTAATTAGGTTTAAAAGTTTTGTCTCGTAAATTAGTTACAAGTTCTGTAATTAGTTTTGTAATTAGTCTATATTTAATACTTCATGCATGTATCTAAGCATTTGATGTGACTGAAATTTTAGAAGCGCAGGTAGAAACCAAACCAAACACGACCTGAGTCTAATTGTGACCTGAGTCTAATTGTGAGAGCAAATGCAGGCGAGCCAGCGAGTGTCTGGGTGTAGTGAGATGTGTGAGATCAGCAATAAGCGATGTAAAGATGGTTTTAACTATTATTTTATCTACATGACAGCTAATTTTTGACTGAGGCATTAGCTGCCTTCATAGGGGCCACCTTTAGGGCACTTTAATGACTCCACCTGGATCCAACTAACATAAGGCCTTCGCTAATGTTGCTTTTTTACTGGTAGCTCCAAAAATCATGTAGGTTCGTTTAAAAAAAGTAGGTACTCTGCATTGGTCATAGTAGTTTACAGAAGCTACATATGTTTAGGGAGAGAGAAGACGATCCATGCTAAAAAAAAAGGGAGAGGAAATAAAGGTGATGCATGAAGAAAGGAAAGATTTTCTTTGCAAACCACAAGTAGTGATTGCTTGCATTGTGTGAATAGTAGCCTCAACATTTCTAGTCCATGTGGATCACTTTATTTATACTAGAACTACTAAGAGTATTAGCCTCCATTGGTGGTGCCCTATTATCGGTGTTTGAGTTGCCACCGGCTAGTAATTTTTTAATATTGTGCGTCTGGCCCGGATGGTGTGCTAAGAGGATACGATGTTTATACTGGTTCGGACAGAATGTCCATACGTCTAGTTCGTTGCTGCTGCTCATGTTACTAGCACTAAAAGTTCATAGTAGGGCTTACAAACGATCGAGAGAGGGACATGTCCCAAGTCTCTGGTGAGAGGAGCGAACGGGTGCCGAGGGCTCGGTTGCTTCTCAGTTGTGTGCTTGTGTGCTCTAATCAGTTCGGGGTTAGAGTCCGAATCGGTGTGATGTGTCGATCGTTGGTCCGATGCCCCTAATGGGGCGCCCTGCTTTCCCTTTTATAGGCTAAGGGAAAGCAGGGGTTACAGTGGAGGAAGAGAAGAGAATGAGAGGAAGAAGTCCTTCAGGATCGCCGGGTTCTCCTCCTCCTCTATGCGGGTCCCGACGACCCTATAGACGTCAACAGGGACAACTTCTCGTTGTGGCCCTATCTGTCACTGGCGCCATGTGCAGGCGTCGTCTGCCGGTCATGGCGCTCCACTCTGTCCTAGCGAACATCGTGGTGAACTGATGCGCCCGTCAGTGTACGTACGGGGGTTATGCAGAATAGCACCGGTACGCCCGACACTGTTCCTGATGTGAACCCCTAGGTATGACCCGTCATGGGTCGCGGGCCACATCGAGGCGTGCCAGTCTCTTCTCTGGCGTCAGAGCTTTGACCCAGGCCCATACACTTGGACCTAGAGTGGTTGGCGGCGGTATGGGTCTCCGTCGAGCGAGACTGAGCCCCCCGGCCTCGGGGTCGGGCGAGGCAGAGTTCCTCCCCAGAGGCCGGGTGAGGCGGAGCATAAACCCAAGGCTCGGGCAAGGCAGAGCCCGCGGCCCCGATGTCGGGCGAGGCGGAGCCGCGACCTCAGTGTCGAGCGAAACGGAGCCCACCCCTAGAGGTCGAGCGAGGCGAATCCGCCCTCAGGGGTCGGGCGAGGCGAACCCCGTGGCCTCGGTGTTGGGCGAGGTGGAGCCAACCCTCAGGGGTCAGGCGAGGCGGAGCCCGCGACCTCGGTGTCGGGTGAGGCGAAGCCAACCCTCATGGGTCGGTCGAGGCGAAGCTCGCGGCCTCGGTGTCGGACGAGGCGGAGCCCGCCCTCAAGGGTCGGACGAGGCGGAGCCCTGGCCTTAGTGTCGGGTGAGGCGGAGTTACCCTCAGGGGTCGGGCGAGGTGGAGCCCGCGGCCTCGGTGTCGGGCGAGGCTAAGCCCCAACCCTCAGGGGTCGGGCGAGGCGGAGTCCACCCTCAGGGGTCGATCGAGGTGGAGCCCATGGCCTCGGTGTCGGGCGAGGCAGAGCCAACCCTCAGGGGTCGAGCGAGGTAGAGTCCGCCCTTAGGGGTCGGGCGAGGCGGAGTCCGCGGCCTTGGTGTTGGGCGAGGCGGAGTCCGCCCTCAGGGGTCGGGCGAGGTGGAGCCCACGGCCTCGGTGTCAGGCGAGGCAGAGCCACACTCAGGGGTCGGGCGAGGCGGAGCCCACGACCTCGGTGTCGGGCGAGGCGAAGCCAACCCTCAGGGGTCGGGCGAGGCGGAGCCTGCGGCCTCGATGCCAGGCAAGGCGGAGTCCGCCCTTAGGGGTCGGGCAAGGCGAAGCCCATGGCCTCGGTGTCGGGCGAGGCGGAGCCAACCCTCAGGGGTCGGGCGAGGCGGAGTTTGTGCAACTAGGGGTCGGTTGGAGCTGTAGTCGTGCTCTTGACTGCTTGGATGAATCAACGTTGATGGTTATTAGCTCCTCTTCTTCGGGTATCCTGGTATTGGTCCCCGACAGTAGCCTCCGAGCCTCCGGAGGAGTAGAATACTCATTCGGAGGTTTTTCCGAACGGGAGGACTCTGAGGGTCTTGGCCTTCTTTTGTTGCCCACAGCATGTCCCGGGGACAGTGATTTCCTCTCGTCGAGGTCAGACCCTTCGCGGGTATTGCCATGAGATTTTGGTGGGTTGAAAAAGGTCTTTCCTGATTTTCGACCCGTGGGGTCCGTCGTTCTGTGACCGTGTGTCCAGTCTCCTTGCAAGTCCAACTTTCCTCGAGCCCCTGCATGTAGCGGGGGTCCAGTCGAAGGTCGACTCGTCTTTGTGATTATCACCCCGTCCATGGTTTCCGCAACCGGAGGGGCGAGCCGTGCCCTGATTTTCATCTATGGACGAGCCGTGGTGCTTGGTGAGTTGTTAGCTGGCTATTTCGGGTGGGGTCCTAGCATCCAGTTCATAGGGATCCGGATAGGGTCAGCTTGGTGACCGACTTTAGATTCTCAGCGGTCAATCCATATAGTTCTCAGGTCCGTTCGATTGGTCCCGGGGACTCTCTGCCTTTCTTTAGGGAAAACCATGGATCGTACCCGGTCGAGACTCGATCGTGGGCCAGGATGCCCGTGACGCTCGTGCGCCTAGGTACTAGCCGCTTGCGGGCCCATCCATTTCCATCCCTTAGTCTAAGGGTGTCCGGAGCGGTTGTCGAACCCGTCGATGGGACAACCTTTCGAACTCCTGGGCCCAGGTGGGCCGTAAAGGTGTTTTTTTATCCGTATTCCTTGTGCTTGTGACGAGTCATGGCCCGTTCGGAGAGGCAAAATGTCCGATGAGTTTTTTGAGGGAACGAACAGAGATTGCGTGCACACTTCCCCGGCGAGAGACATTGTGGCTGATCGTGGTAGGCGCGGAGATCCAGGCGGGTGGTTGGTTTCCTCGCACCGCCCCTATAAAACCAAAGGGTTCACCCCCCGGGTTCCATACCTTGCATCCTTGCCTCCGCAGCCACGACCGCCACCACCAATCTCCTACGGTTCCCCGTCTCCGCATCCCCGCCGCCGTTGAGCCCGCATCCAACCATCCCTACCTCCAATTGTTCCATGGTGCCGTTCTGACATCACCTTCCAGAGCATAGAGGGCCTCATCCATCGCGGTCTTCTCTGCGCGTGGACCTCAGCCGAGGAGTGGTTGCTGCCCGGCGAGGAGGATCTACCGTCGCCACCCGACGGCTACATGGTGTTGTTCGCCCACTTCCATGAGCGTGGGTTCACGACCCCCACCCATAGATTTCTTCAGGGGCTGCTGCACTACTACAAGATCGAGCTGCAGCACCTCAATCCCAACGAGATCCAGCACATGCCAGCGTTCATCGCCCTTTGCAAGGGATTCCTGGGGATCAGCCCCCACTTTGATCTGTGGAGGTACTTCTTCATCGTCACCCTCCAGAAG